CCAGTACTCCTCAAATTTCTCCCCAGAATAAAAGCAAAAGGGCCATTGCCAAGCTCTTTTTATGAGGCTACCATTACCTTGGTACCCAATTCACACAGAGACACAACTAAGAAAGAGAACTACAGACCAATATCCCTCATGGACATTGGATGCAAAAATCCTCAACAAAATACTGGCAAATCAAATCCAAGGACACATCAGAAAAATCATCCAACATGATAAGTAGGCTTCATCCCAGGGATGCAGGAATGGTTCCATATATGGAAATCTATCAATTTAATCCACCATATAAACATATTGCAAAAGAAAAACCACATGATCATGTCACCAGATGGTGAAACAGCCTTTGACAAAATCTAACAGCCCTTCATGCTAAACCACCTGGAAAGATCAGAAATAACAGAAACATATCTGAACATAATAATAAAAGCAATATACAGTAAACCAACAGCCAACATCAAACTAAATAGAGAGAAACTGAACACAATTCCTCTAAAATCAGGAACAAGACAAGGATTTCCACACTCTCAATATCTCTTCAATATTTTCTTTGCAGTTCTAGCTAGAGCAGTAAGACAACAAAAGGAGATCAAGGGGACAGAAATTGGAAAGGGAGAAGTCAGACTTTCACTATTTGCAGATGACATGATAGTGTTACATAAGTGAACCAAAAAACTCTACCAGGGAACTCCTACAGTGAATAAACACCTTCAGGAAAGTGGCAGGATTGAAGATGAACTAAAAAAAATCAGTAGCCCTACTATATATGGATGCTAAATGTGCTGAGAAAGAAATCAGAGAAGCATCACCCTTCACAATTGTCACAAACAACATAAAATACCTTGGAGAAATGCTAACCAATAAAGTGAAAGACCTGTATCATAAGAATTTTGAGTCTTTGAAGAAAGAAGATACCAGAAAATGGAAATATCTGCCATGTTTTTGAATAGGTAGGATCAACACAGTAAAAATGGCAATCTTGCCAAAAACAACCTACAGATTCAACACAATTCCCATCAACATTCCAGCACAATTCTTCACAGACCTTGAAAAATTAATTCTCAACTTTATATGGAAAAACAAAAGAACACAGGGTAACCAAAACAACCTTGTACCATAAAGAACTTCTGGAGGCATCACCATCCCTGACTTCAAGCTCTATTATAGAGCTATAGTCCTGAAAACATCTTGGTATTGGCACAAAAATAGACTGGTAGACCAATGGAATCGAATTGAAAACTCTGATATTAACTGGCACACCTATGAACGCCTGAATTTTGACAAAGAAGCCAAAGCTATACAATGGAATAAAGAAATCATCTTCAACAAATGGTGTTGGCATAACTAGATGCTGGCATGTAGAAGACTGCAGATAGATCCGTTTCTATTGCGATGCACAAAACTTAAGTCCAAATTGATCAAAGATCTCAACATAAACCCAGCCACAATGCACTTATTAGAAGAGAAATTAGGAAATACCCTTGAACTAATTGGTACAGTAGACCACTTCCTGAACATAATGCCAGTAGCACAGACACTGAGATCCACAATTAATAAATGGGACCTCCTGAAACTGAGAAGCTTCTGTAAGGCTAAGGACATAGTCATCAAGACAAAACAACAGCCCACAGATTGGGAAAAGATATTCACCAACCCCACATCTGACAGTGGGCTGATCTCCAAAATTTACAAAGAACTCAAGAAGGTAGTCTCCCAAACACCAAATAATCCAATTAAAAAGTGGGGTGCAGAACTAAATAGAGAACTCTCAATAGAGGAATCTAAAATGGCTGAAAGACACTTAAGAAAGTGCTCAACATCCTTAGCCCTCATGGAAATGCAACTCAATACAACTCTGAGATACCATCTTACACGAGCCAGAATGGCTAAAATAAAAAACACCTATGGCAGTCCATGTTGGAGGTGATGTGGAAAAAGGGCAATACTCCTCCATTGCTGGTGGGAGTGCAAACTTGTACCACCACTTTAGAAATCATTATAGTGGTTTCTCCAGAAAATGGGTATCAGTCTACCCCATGATCCAGCAATTCCACTTTTGGGCATATACCCAAAAGATGCACATTCATACAACAAGGACATATGTTCAACTACATTCATAGCAGTGTTGTTTGTAATAGGCAGAAACTGGAAGCAACGTAGATGTCCCTCAACCAAAGAATGAATGAAGAAAATGAGATACATTTACACAATGGAGTATTACTCAGTGGCAGGAAACAATGAAATCTTGAAATTTGTAGGCAAATAGATGGAACTGGATGAAAACATCCTGAGTGAGGTAATTCAATCACAGAAAGACTAGCAGGGTATATACTCACTTATATATGGATATTAGACATATCATAAAGGAGTAGCAGTCTACAATCCACACCAACAGAGAAATTAGGTTACCAGGAGGACCCCAAGAGAAAAATACATGGTCCCCTGAAGAAGGGGTGGGGGACAAGAACCCCTGAGCAAGTTGGGAGCATGTGGCAGGGGAGGAGTAAGGTGGAAAGGGGAGAGGGGGAGAACAGGAGAGAATAAGAGGACTGAGACAGGGGAGAGATAGAGGAGGGAAAGAAAAGAGATGCCTTGCTAGAGGGACCCAGTGTACATTTGGAGCTAGGACTGGCATAGGGGAAAAGTTAGGAGATCCACAAGGATGACCCCATCTAAGAATCTATGTATTGGTGGAGAGGCTGCCTTTGATAACCCTCCCCTATAATTAGATTGATGACTACCTTGGTTGCCATTCCTAGACCTTTCATCCAGTAGCTGTTCCAAGCAGAGACAGGCACTCACATCTGAACACTGTGCCATACTCCTGGAATTCACTTTCTGGAAGGGAGGAGGCATGAGCAAAGGAGCCAAGACTGTTCTGTAGAAACCTGCAGAAAGAGTTGACCTGACCTAGTGAGAGCATGGAGACTCTAGTCATAAAGCTGGGAAACTAGCATTGGGGCCAATGAAGCTTTCTGAATGTGTGTGGCAGATAGGAGGCCAGGGCAGTCTACTCAACCTCTAACGGTGGAGCCAGTGTTTATCCCTAGAGTACACATGGACTTTGGGAGTCCATTCCATATGGAGGGATACTATTGCAGCCCAGATACAAGAAAGAGGACCTAGGCCTTCCCCCAAATGATCTGATGGATTTTGGTCTCCCTGGAGGACCTCACTATCCTTCGAAGTGGGTGGGGGGGTGGTTTGGTGGGGACAGTGGGGAGCATGGGAGGATGAGAATGCAAGGGAATGGGGGAAATGGTGTGTAAATAAGAATGATTCTAAAATAAAATTAAAAACCCATCAAAAGACAAAAATGTATTCATAAAAATTTCTGGAAACTGGGTAACTTGTTTTAGTGTATAACAAATCAGCTGGTCTTACTAGTTTTAATCTGTTTTCATTAAACTTTAGTACAAAGCAGTTCCAACATTATGCTTTCATTTTCTACTCTGATTTTTCATTCTCATTTTCTATCTGGTGAATCAATATTTGAATGTTTTTAACCTGGAAGAGTGAATACTTAATTGAAATAAATGAAATTGATTAAAAAATCCATTTGTCTACTGTAGAAAACATTGCAAAATAATACATAGAGACAAAATTATTTTCAATATATATGCATTATTCAGAGCTCTATGTTTATGAATAAAAAAGGCAACATTTTCTATTCCAGTCCTGATGGCTTACTTTGTTGGGGTACACAAATTGTAGTAACACCTTGAATAGTAAGATTACTTAGGAGAAATCTAAGTATCGTTGGTGGTCAGAAGACCGCCATGCCACTACTACTGTGAGCATGTAGGTAGTGAATCGATGGAAGAGAAAAAGAGTGGAGCTGTTTGTGTGCTTTGAAGAGAGGCAGAAATAGACACATAGGTGAGGAACAGCTTGATGTTAGTGACCTGTGCTGCCTCCTGAAGCCATGTTGATGTCTGGGCCTGTGCTGCAACCAAGTACTGTGCCAGAGTCAATGGCCCTACTGCAGCAGTGGTAAGTATAGGCAGATATCTGTGGCCAGTGTTACCACTATATGGATGTTTGTGGTTTGTACTGCAGCCTGAAGCCATGTTGATGTCTGAGGGCCTTGCTGAGTGGTTCTGTCCCTCATTAGTCAGGAGAGATGTAGGCACAGGAGAGCTGGCCCCATGCATGGGTGTGGGAGAGCTGGTGGGATAATCAACTCAGGCACCACCCAGGCCCATATTCAGGGTGTAAATTTGTTTACATTTTAGTTTTAAAAATTGTTTTCTTTTTATTTATGCATATATGTGTGTGTATGTGCCTGTGTGTTTGTGTAACTGTGAGAACAGGTGCCAACAGGGTACAGAAGAGGAGCTGGGAGTACAGACAGGTGTGAGCTGCCTCATATGATTCCTAGGAAAAAAATCAGGTCGGCTAGGATAGTAGTATACACTTTAACCATCCAGCCACCTCTTCCACCCCAATGTGCAGTTTATAGACTACTGTGTAAATATAATTATATCCTGTACACATTTTCTTCAAACTTTTGCCCAACAATTCAGATTCCTTTATGTTGTGGCATGCGTTCAGTTACTTACTTTTTTGTTGAGTGAATTTAATTACATGGGTATACAACAGTTGTTTATCCATATATTGATAGATGTTTTGTCTATTTCATGTTATATATTATTATAAATAAAAGTGCTATGGACATTTGTGTATAAGTAAATAATATGATTTAATTTATTGTGGATAAGTACCTAGAGGGTAGAGTTGTTATGTAATGTTTAACTTTCAAAAGTGTTTTTTCTTTCTATAAGAAAAAATTAGCATTTTTGGAAGAGCATTATTCACTGCCATGTTATTTTCACTATCTGCTTGACCCATCCTAAAGTCACAGGAGAAGGGAGTTTCTGTTGAGGGAGCTCCCAGATAAGATTGGCCTTTAGGCATGTCTGTGAAGGAATTGCCTTGATAATTTATTGATACAGGAGGATCCAGACCTAACACTGTGGGTGTTGCCATTCCCTTGGCAGGTGGCTCTGGACTGTTTAAGAAAGCTAACTAAGTACGACCCAACAAGCAAGCCAGCAAGCAGCATTCTCCCATTTTTTTTTTTCTGTTTTAGTCATGGACTGTATCTGTAAGCTGAAATAAACACTTTCTTCCCCTAAATTGCTTTTGGTCAGAGTGTTTTATCACAGCAATAGGGTGAAAACAGAGCACATGCCAGTATTTGCCTTGCTCACTTACTTATGCGCTGATGACTGAGTGCCAATGCTGTGATGGCCAGCAACCTCGGGCTTCTGTTGGTGTGCTTTCTCCACCAAGGTGGATTGTGTCCTGGATGACTTTATGTCAACTTGTCACAGGCTAGAGTCCCTTGAGGGCATAGAATGTCAATTTAGAAAATGCCTCCATAATTCAGACTGAAGTTGAGCCTGTAGGGAATTTTCTTAATTAGTAATTGATGTGGGAGGGACCAGACCATTGTGCTACCTCTGGGCAGTTGGTCCTGTGTACCATAAAAAGCAGGCTCAACAGACCATGAGAAAACTAGTAAGTAGCACCCTCCATGGCCTCTGTATCAGCTCCTGCCTCCAGGTTCATGCCCTGTTTGAGTGCCTGCACTGACTTCCTTCAGTGATGGACTATGATGTAGAAGAGTCAGCTAAAGAAACCCATTCTCATTGTGCGGCCCTGCTGCAAAATATCTGACACTGGGATCTGCTCACTGGTTCCGAGCTTAAGGGTGGGATCCAGCTCACCCTGACACTGGCAAGGCCCCGGTAACAGTACTACCTTCATCCATGAGAAGAGGACAGACATCAGAGTGTTGGAACTGTTTACATCTACCAGAAGGGAACCTGGCTCCCCTACCCACCAGAAGAGGAAGACACTCCTGCTACACCCACCAGAAGAAAGGATGAGAAGAGGACAATATAAAGGCACATTCAACAAAAGAAAACCCGATAATGACACCACAGGAGACTAAGAACCATACACCAGCAAGACCTGAACATCACAATGCAGAAGAAACAGAAGAGAATGACCTTAAACATATCTTCATGAAAATGATAGAGGACCTCAAAGAGGACATGAGAAAATCCCTTAAATAAATGGAAGAAAAAGCAAACCAAAAATACAAGATATCAAATCTCTCAAGGAAACAGTTCAAGACCTAAAAACTGAAATAGAGACAATAAAGAAAACACAATCTGACGGAATGCTGGAAATAGAAAAGCTGGGTAAACGATAAGGAACTACAGACACAAGCATACCCAACAGAATACAAGAGATGGAAGACAGAATCTCAGGAGTTGATTCTAGTGGAAATAGACTCACTAACCAAAGAAAATCTTAAGTCCAACAAATCCCTAACACAAAACATCCAGGAAATATGGGATACCGTGAAAAGGCCAAATCTAAGAATAATAAGGAATAGAAGAAGGTGAATAAATCCAACTCAAAGGCCCAGAAAACATATTCAACAAAATCATAGAAGAAAACTTTCCCAACCTAAAGAAAGACATACCTATGAAGGTACAAGAAGCCTACAGAACACCAAATAGAGTGGACCACAAAAGAAAGTCCCCACGTCATATAATATTTAAAACACCAAACATACAGAATAAAGAAAAATATTAAGAGCAGCACGGGGAAAAAGGCCAAGTAACATATAAAGGCAAACCCACCAGAATTACACCAGACTTCTCCATGGAAACTCTGAAAGCCAGAAGGACCTGGATAGATATTCTACCAACTCAGAGAGAACACAGATGCCAGCCCAGACTTTTATACCCAGCAAAGCTTTCAATCACTATAAATGGAGAAAACAAGATATTCCATGACAAAACCAGATTTAAACAATATGTAACTACTAATCCAGCCCTACAGAAAGTACTGGAAGGAAAACTCCAACCTAAGGAAATTAACTCCACTCACATAAACATAGGAATTAGATAATCCCACTCTACAAAAACACAAAATAAAAAGCAGGGTAAATCCACATAGAATACCAGTACCAACAACAAATCAAAAACAAACAAGAATAAACACCCAATGGACCTTAATTTCCCTCAATATTAATGGTCTAACTCATCTATAAAAAGAATCAGGCTAACAGACTGGATACAAAGAAAGAATCCCTAAGAAAGAATTCCTCCTTCTGCTGCATACAAGAAACACACCTCGAATTCAAAGACAGACATTACCTCAGAGTAAAGGGTTGGGATAAGATATTCCAATCAAATGGACCCAAGAAATGAGCTGGGGTAGCTATCCTAGTATCTAGCAAGTTAGACTTCAAACTAAAATCAATCAAAAGAGATGAAGAAGGTCATTTCATATTCATCACAGGAAAAATCCATCAGGAAGAGATCTCAATTCTAAACATCTATGCCCCAAATACAAAGGCACCAACATTAGTAAAAGAAACATTATTAAAGCTCAAATCACAAATAAGGCCTCACACACTTATAGTGGGAGACTTCAACACCCCACTCTCACCACTGGACAGGACCACCAGACAGAAACTTAACAAAGAGACAAAGGAGCTAACAGAAGTTATGACCCAATTGTTATTAACAGACATCTTTAGAACTTTCTATCCAAACACAAAAGAATACACCTTCTTTTCAGCATCACATTGAACCTTCTCAAACATCTACCACATAGTCGGTAACATAGCAAACCTCAACAGGTACAAAAAAATTGGAAAAATCCCCTGTGTCTTATCAGACCACCATGCTTCAAAGTTAGAAATAAAAAACAAAATAAAGTGCAGAAAACCTACCAACACATGGAAATTGAAAAACATGCAATTGCACCATTCCTGGGTCAAGGAAGAAATAAAGAAATAAATTAAAGAGTTACTATAATTCTACAATGAAAATGAAGACACAACATACCCAAACTTATAGGACACTTTGAAAGCAGTACCAAGAGGAAAGTTCATAGCTCTAAGTGCTCACATGAAGAAACTAGAGAATAGTCATACATACCAGAGAGTTGATATCACAGCTGAAAGCTCTAGAAAAATTGGAAGCAAATTCACCCCGGAGGAGCAGATGCCAGGAAATAATCAAACTGAGGACAGAAATCAATAAAGTCGAAGCAAAGAAAACAATTCAAAGAATCAACATAACAAAGAGTTGGTGCTTTGAGAAAATCAACTGTATAGACAAACCGTTATCCAAACTAACCAAAAGGCAGAGAGAGAACATGCAAATTAACAAAATCAGAAATGAAAAGGGGGACATAACAATGGACACTGAATAAATCCAGAGAATTTTCAGTTCATACTTTGAAAACATGTACTCCACAAAATTGGAAAATTTAAAGGAAATGGACAATTTTCTGGACAGTTATCACTTACCAAAATTGAATCAAGAACAGATAAGCAACTTAAACAGACCTATAACCTCTAAGCAAATAGAAGCACTCATCAAAAGTCTCCCAACCAAAAAAAGCCTGGGGCGAGATGGATTCACTGCAGAATTCTACCAGAAATTCAAAGAATTGCTAATACCAACACTCCTCAAATTGTTTCACACAATAGAAGCAGAAGGGACATTGCCAAACTCTTTTTACAAGGCTACAATAACCTTGATACCTAAGCCACACAAAGACAACTAAGAAAGAGAACTACAGACCAATATCCCTAATGAACCTTGATGCAAAAATTCTCAATAAAATACTGGCAAATCGAATCCAAGAACACATCAGAGAAATTATCCAGAATGATTAAGTAGGCTTCATCCCAGGGATGCAAGGATGGTTCATCGTATGAAAATCCATCAATGTAATTCACCATATAAACAGACTGAGGAAAAAAAAAAACACATGATCATCTCACTAGATGCCCCAAAAGCCTTTGACAAAATCTAACACCCCTTCATGATAAAGGTCTTGGAGAAATCAGGGATAACAGAAACATACCTAAACAAAATAAAAGCAATGTACAGCAAGAAAACAGCCAACATCAAATTAAATGGAGAGAAACTCAGTCCAATTCCTCTAAAATCGGGGACTAATAAGCCTGTTTGCTTATTTTTTCTTTTATTTCTAGTGGAGAATTTTCTTAATAGCACCACTACATTTTTGGTAGAAAGTATTTTCCCCAATATTTTACTGATATTTGTTGGCCTGTGGACACATGATTTTGGAAGATACTGTTTGAAATGTTTTCCCTGCTGACCTTTCTTGTACACTGCACTCTGGTTTAAAGAAGACCCTGTGATGCTGCCACTGAAGAACTATTTAAGGGCCTTTCTTTGGTGGCTTGCCTAAATTACAGAAGTTGACTGAGTTGGTTGGGATTCCCTTAAATACACAATTTCTAAATACACAAATCTTTCCTAATTACGACTTATTAGAATTAGTCTGGAGAAAGTTCAGACCCTACTCTTGAAAGAGGCATAAAGATTTTTTTTTCTCATTAAACTTTTAATGGGTCTCAAAATTCTCTGACAGACTTTTTGTGAAGTTGTTTCCATTAAAAAAGTATTGGCCTTGAAAACTCAAAGCTTAAAATTGGCCCCCCCACACAATGGTACACAAACATTCTCCTTTCATACTGAAGGTTTTACTCCGCATTGTTATCATTACCCAGTCTTTTACACTTAAATGCCATTTGAGACCTTCTTTCACCACTCAGTAAGTTCAAGGTGGCAGGTATTGGAATGATACTCACTTAACCTTCTGAGATTACTGGGAAGACTTGGTGACCTTGTTGTCTCAAGCAACCTTGTTGTCCATGTCTCTGATGACACCCACAACAATTTTCTGACATATTTCACATACAGCAAAAAATCACTCAGTGAAGGCTAGATTCACAGCACATCTGGCCTTGCCTATGACCACATCAGCAATGGTTGCATCATCAGATTTCAGGAATTTTGAGCCAGCTTCCAGCTTTTTTCCAGGATAAAAAATCTTTTCTTTAAGCCCAACAAACAGGTGAAGTATATGAGATATGTGACAATCTAGTAGAGGAACATAGTCAGCACTAATTTGGCTTTCATAATTCAGGATAATCACCTGAGCAGTGAAACAATTGGTGGGTAGTCTTTGCAGACAGCAGAAACTTCCCACATGTAATGTCTTTGACAGATATGTTCTTTACAT